TGTTCAAACTCGTATATTAGTGTCGGGTTTGAAAATACTTATTTGGGCCTTATTAATGAACATAAGAGCCCAACATTATCTAAATAATGTTACATAACCTTTCAAGACAAGTTGAGGAAGGTCGGGCGGCCCAAGCATTATTTTGGGCCCAACCTGCTAAAAATAGCAAGTATTCGAGAATGGCATTCTAGACCCACTCGGGAGTGACCCACACGGCTAGTAGCCCAATAATATGTATGACAAATGTCAAATAAGTGATAGAATGATTAAAGAAGAATACAAATGCCTATAATCCCATCTTTGGCATTATTGAGCTAAATAATGGGAGTAGGATTTTCCTTCTATAATATCCATCAAGTAAATTATTGGGATGAGCCTACACATATTGGAGATCAATAATGTGATTTAGGAAGTTGACTTGTTCTAAATAAATTAGGATGAGTACAAAAAGACATCTTTGACAAAAGATAAAACAATAGGACCCATCTTCCTATTTTTTGGAAGTATTGGTAGATATTTTGGATCTCAAATTGATTGAGATCAATTGGGGGGCATTCCATGTGGCTTGGGTACCTGCAAGACAAAGAAAATATGTGAGAAGACTCACCTTGGCCGCACCACATGGAGAAGAACTGCACATGACTTGATAAGAATCAAAGTTTGGGCCACCATCCTTATTTTCGCACAAATTGGTGTGCTGTTTGTCTCCCCTCATTATAGGAGCTATACTCAACCAAATAACGTGTATGAGGTGTCCTTGGATAGACTTTGAAGTGTAGTTTCTTATTTGAGTGGTCTATGTTCGAGAAGGGAGAGTCTATCCCACAAAAACCGAGATGGAGTGAACTGCTGTCTGTAAACTCGAGCAGTGAGAGTGCTGAAGCTGTTTGGTTGATATCTCGAGTTATAACGATCCAATTAAGGCGAATAAGATACCAAAAGAAAGATCTCAAGACGAGGAATCCGTGAAGGTCTAGTTTGCATCAATCGGAGTAGTGTAAGGTTTCCAAATCGTCCGAGCAAAACGAAACCTCGCAGAAACGGATCTACACCTCTAAAGTGAGTTGTTAACCCCGAAACCTTTCCTTTCATTTTCCAAATGATATGAACGATTGGTGGAACTATTGTACACTAATCCAAGTGTGTAATATGTCCTTGTAAAGTTATTTTATTGATGTAAAGGTTAGATACTAACCTAGAGTAAATCTTGAAAAACTAGGAAACGAGCTAACCGGAAAACACCCATTCTAGGGGCTGTTTTCGTATCAACGTTTGAGGGTTGAGCTAGCACTTTGAGGAGGCTGTTTAACACTCATATTTAAGCAAGGAATCAGTTCTTAATCCACCTTGGCCAAAACTTTGACCATTGGATCAATAAAGAAAAGTTTAAAGCTCAATTAAGGTGAGGATCGACATCTAATTGCTTACAACTTGTAGGTTAAGCATAAGATTACCTAAATGCCTAAATCATAATTTTTCATGGATTATTATGATTAAATATTGATGAAATATTGATATAGTTCCCAAAGAATGAAATTGGAAATGATTTGAGGATGTATGAATAATATGAGATTAAATGAGTTATAAATGAACTATTTTGTGAAATGGGGATTTTACTCATGTATGAATTATGTGGATACATAAATGGATATTTATGTATTGAAGTTGAATATTTAAGTTGCTGCTACATACTTATAAATATGTAGAAAATTACAAAATGAGGATATTTGTATGATGACAATAATCTTAATAGTATTGAAATACTAGTTAGTGATTAATTGAAATTGTTGATAGAATTGATCCTAAGTATTGGATTGTATGGAATGCACGTGAATGTACTTCAAGTGCATAAAATGACTTAGTATGAAGCTAAGAGTAAGTTATGGGCAGTCATTAAGAATGACTCAAGGTATATTATTGAGATGTCAATTCTAGGCATAGGTTTGCTTAGGAATTGGACTATAATGAGGAATTAGAGCCGGACTCTATGATTTGCATGGAAATGTAGTTGGTCCGAGACCTTGCCATGTAAATTGTGATTTGCATAGAAATGTAGTTGGTCCGAGACCTTGCTATGCAAATGTGATAGGATGTAAATTGTGATTTGCATAGAAATGTAGTTGGTCCGAGACCTTGCTATGCAAATGTGATAGGATGTAAATTGTGATTTGCATAGAAATGTAGTTGGTCCGAGACCTTGCCATGTAAATTGTGATTTGCATAGAAATGTAGTTGGTCCGAGACCTTGCTATGCAAATGTGATAGGATGTAAATTGTGATTTGCATAGAAATGTAGTTGGTCCGAGACCTTGCTATGCAAATGTGATAGGATGTAAATTGTGATTTGCATAGAAATGTAGTTGGTCCGAGACCTTGCTATGCAAATGTGATAGGATGTAATTGTGATTTGCATGGAAATGTAGTTGGTCCGAGACCTTGCCATGTAAATTGTGATTTGCATAGAAATGTAGTTGGTCCGAGACCTTGCTATGCAAATGTGATAGGATGTAAATTGTGTTTTGCATAGAAATATAGTTGGGCCGAGCCCTTGCTATGCAAATGTGATAGGATGTACTTGACATAAAGGATTGCATAGAAATGTAGTTGGGCCGAGCCCTTGCTATGCAATAGTAATGTGATGAACTCTATGAATTGTCGTGGCTTATAGTCACGGGGAATGGGAATGGTGATTTCTAAATGAACATGGGCCCACGAGCCGATTACTTGAATTTTATATAAAGTAAGTATATTATCAAACGGGGTAACTTAGGGTTACCACTATATTGTATTATCACCCTATTTGAGGGTCTTGTGTTCGAAATTCTTGTTGTATATCTCTTAGATGCCATCCACACCAGTACTTTATAGCCGTATAGAGTACTGACCCCTTCGGGGGCGTCCCACCACCATTTCAGGTTGAGGCTCGAGCTTGCTACCTGTGCCCGTTGCTCGGGTGATCCTTTTGAGAGAAGACGTGGTTCGTGCTTCCTCCATTCTGATTTGAACACTAATAAATTTGCTCATGGATATTTTACTATAGAGCCTGCGTGCTCATGAATAGCCTTGTGTGGCCCTTTTGTTTTTAACAATGTTTTCCGCTGCGTTATGAATTACTTATTATGTTTGTTTATGGATGTTATGTGTGTGAATGATATTCAAGACGCCTTGTATAATATGAATGTGTTGGACTGCGGTTGACTATTCGTATTGTACGGCGGGTTGTTGACGTGTCCGGGGAGGTCCGGGGCGTGACATGACTAATTTGTTAGACCCACCAGATTATGGCGTTTAAGGCCATATATGAAAAACTGCATTTTTTTGCCTGAGGCGTACGCAATAGACGGGTCCTTCATATGAACCAAATAAATAAATAGAGTATACTGCAGAGATGAGATTACAAAACTGGTGCTATAGTGAAGGTAAGTTTAATAACTTACTAGAATTTAGGGTCTCCTTCCCACGCGAGGCTTGTGAGTTGCTTTCCATTGGTAGCAACCTATTCGCGCGATGGTAACTTCTTTGTGCTTGCTCTGTGAGTTTGAACTTTGAAGACATACAGAGTAAGAGATAGAACGGGAAGGGCTTGTGTAAGTATAATTACTCCTTTGGCCTTTTAAATGTAACATATGTTAGGTACGTGCTTGGTTAATTATTTTTCTTCACCGGAGAAACACCCGGAGGACTAAAACTAGGAAGAGTGCAATAGTCTTGCACCAGATCTCGAAAAATTAAAAGACAAGGAATAAAAGTGTCTTTGACATTAAAGTTAGAGGACCAAAAATGAAAAAAAAAAACTCTATTTCAGAGTAACAAGTCACTGATAGATGATGAGTCATTGGGAACTAGTCACTAATAAATTAAATATGTCACTTTTTGGAAAATTTTAAAATAAGTCATATTTTAGTCCTTTGAATTTAATTTAGCACAAAACAAGAATGGTCGTGACTATTTAATACGTAGTATTTCCCAATATTAATACTCTCTCTCTATCCTAATTAAAACACCCTATGAAAAACACCATAAGGAGCAAAAAAACCAAACTCCTTAAAATTATACATTGTTCCAAAAAGGTTAGTCAAATTGTCTTTCTTAGTCAATGATACACAAGTTTGATCAGTGATATATTTTAATACGAAAATAATTTGAATAAGAAAATTATATTAAAATATTATTGAAAATATTTTCATGAAAGTATAAAATTTATGAGTTGCATACAAATGCGATAATTAAAACATTTGTTCAAAGTTTATCATTATTGATCAAGAAAAATCAACATGACAAAACTTTTAGGGACAAAGGCGTAGCATACCTCATCTACTCCCTTCATCCCACAAAATTTTGTGAATTTTCTCTTTTTAGTCGTTTCAAAATACTTTTCCCTTTTTATTTAAAGCAATACTATTTGGTTAAAGTTAATTCTTTATCGTCTATCAAACACACAATCTTTACTTTATTCTTCTACGTGTAAGATAACCTTGGCCAAATTATATTCCGTATGAAATAGATTGAGGGAGCATCCTTTGTCCTATAGAGGATTACATATCCATTTCTTAGAGTAATGATATCATCTTCTTACAATCTCCCCCTAAAGAATATTGGATGCTCTCCATGTAAGGATGTTTTCTTTTGGACTGAAATTTGCTGGTCTGGTCTGGTCTGGTCTGGTCTGTTTAAGTCTGGTCTGGTCTGGTCTGGTCTGGTAAACGTATGGTCTCTGTGTATTTTATAACTGTCCAAGTCTGGTTTGTTTAAGTCTGGTCTGGTCTGTTTAAGTCTGGTTTCGTCTGGTCTGATCTGATCTGGTCTGGTCTGGTTTGGGACTGAAAACAGTCCAAAAGAAAACATCCTAACTCCTCCTCATGATCGAACTTTATGATTGTGAGTTAATTACTTTAAGATGTTATATATTAAATCTTGGTTATATCACATTAATTCTCATCAATAAAAAGTCACAAGTGAATACCCTATTGCAAGAAGGAAATACGAACAAGGATAGTAAAAGTAATATTGTGATGATAAAATGAAAATAAATGATTCTGGTTCCTCATTGAAGAGGATTTCATCAACCCTATTGATCGAGATTGAAAATCGAAGTATATATTTCATTCTGATTACACTCTTCAAATTTATTATGCACTCCTTAGTGTACACTATCGTATGTAGTTTGATCATTACAAAGTATATATGGCAGGTAAATACCTTTTGAAACAAAGAGTACATAACACAACTGTACCTTCATTCAAACTATTTTACATGCATAATAAAGCCCAAAACGCATATATAGTAATATCCATGCTTGCATTTTTATGAAAGAGCTGTTAAGATACGTAGAAGCTAGCTTAATTAGCTAGCTAGTTCTTGAAGAGCTCCAAACCGTGCTGTTGTTTTAGGGCACCGCTCCAGAACTTGCTGTAATACTCTTGATAGGTAAACTTCCGATAAACAGCCGTAGAACCGTCTTGGGTGAGCGATTCCGGGGCGCTGATCACGGCCTCGTTTTCTGGGCACAGGAACGAAGCCACCGACACTCTTGCTCTGTCACTGTTCACGATAGCTCTATGCCACACACTCTTGTACTTGCCATTACTAAGTGCCTGCTCACCCATCAGAAAATTAATTACGATTGATTCTTGATGTTGTTACAAGAAGGATGATAAAGTTAATCGGGAAGATGTAAACCGGACTTTAATCAGAAGTTGTCGGATAGTAAGTGGGGCTTTGACTTAGATATAGTAGTTGCGGGATTTAAACCCGAATCTCATCCCTTGTGAGAACCTCTATCTATCAGTTGAGTTACCCGCACTGGCATTATTCCTATTATTACTACTTGAGTAGGTGTTTCTAGCTACTCCGTAGTTAATATTTTAGGGAAAATACCTATATGTCATATGTGACTACAACTCGTTCAAATTCTTAAAATATGACCTTGGATGTTTCTTTCTCAATATACGACTATATATGCATGGAATGAAATAAGAAAAAGGAAACACCCGGTGGTATGCTATTTTGGGAAACACGCAATGTTTTGGTCATTGAAGGGGTAATTTTATCTAATTTTTTATCACTTTAAACCCAAAAAGTATAACTTTGGCAAATTGTGCTAAAAACTTTAATTTTTTTATATTCTATAATTACGAAGTATTTACCAAGCACTAACGAGACAACTTTTTTTAACCAAAACAGTTGAACTTTACCTTTTTCAATCGCTTTTATGTTTAATCATTAATTGTTTCTAAAATCGAATGCTCCTTTTGTTGCGTTAAGATTGTCTCATACCAAATTTGGTAAAGTGTGTGATTCTAAATCAATGTTAGTGGGACGGAGGTAGTTGTACTCATTTGACTTTATCAACTTTTGTTTTTTGTTTATGCCATAAATTTTGTCATTTTCATTTTAAAATTTCAGTCCTACTTATTTTCTCCTTTTCATCTGCAAACATCAATCACGCAATTTCTACTTTTTTATTTGATACCAACTGGTATGATCTATGATATTAAGAGATGGGTACCTGAAGTTGATCACCAATGTTGACGACGAAGGCATCTGGGCGGGGCTTGATGGTCAACCATTTTCCTTCTTTGAGGACCTGGAGTCCGGCAACATGGGAATCTTGAAGAAGAATGGTTAGGGTATTCGGGTCGGTGTGAGCCGGTAACCCGTAGGTCAGTTCGGGTTGGGGGCATGGCGGGTAGTAGTTAACCGCCATGTGTTGACCCTGTTCACCCAAAATGTTCTTGATGCATTTTGAGTCAAGGCCTAGACTCTCAGATATGGCTTCCTCTATTCTCAATCCAACTTGTCGAACCATTGTTACATAGGTCTTCACCACTTCTCTGTTCATACACGAGAATGAAAAATATAGGTAATTTATACTCCGTATACATTAAAGTCATTATATATACTACGTATATAATAATGATGTTTAGGGTGATGCTTAAGAACATGTTCATCTAGTATAGTTGTATGAGAAGTTGTCATATAAAATTTGAAAAACAAAAAAATCTCCGTAATTGATTGTTATCTTTTGTAGAAAACAACAACATACATTTTCGATCAATTTCACTCCCTTTACTTTTGGTTGTACGCGTTTCATTATTAGTTCTATAACTTTATTTGTTTGCTTATTCAAGGCCGGCCCTAGCCATGTGCTCCACATGCAATGGCACAAGGTCCAATAAAAATAAATGCCCAAAAATAATGAATAATATAAAGTATTATGTAGTATACATAGCTCAAGATAATTCTGCATGCCACAAAAAGGGTGTCGAAGGGTAAGATATTTTTTCTGTAATTGATTTAACAAATGCCCTATGCATATTGGTATTATAATAAATGAATATGTGCGCGCAATTTAAGACACTAGAGAGTACACATTCCGAAAAAATCATAAATCACATCACCAGTTTGAAATTGCATAAATTTATTAGTTAAATTACACGATCACATCCGCAAAAGATTAAAATTATACGTAGTACTACACAAAGTTGTTATAGGGCTAACCACGAACTTTAATACTATGAATAGCCCAACAGAGTCAAAAAATGATAATCTACACTAGGAATGTCGTTCAAGATGGTGTGATCTAGTCAAATCAGGTAATTAAATAGTTGCGGGTTGCTTTACATGGTAGACAAAGTTATTTAATTGGTGTTATTATCATAATAATAATCAATCGATTCGTTCATGAATGTTATTATATTTAATCATCGCTAGCTACTAGCCTAGTACTATAGGTTAAATAAATGTCAAAAACAATGGGCAACGTAGCGTATACGGAGTGAGACCATGACAATATATAACCACGAAGTCTCCAACTAACTAATAAATGCAGCAAATCCAGCAGCCATCAACATATTATGAATGTTAATTGAGGGTAAATACTTAGTTATAATGGATATTAATTTATTAGTTATGTTGTTATTAAATCATTTATTTATGTTATTATTCAATTGTATTTCAGTGCACATACCAAAGTACAGCATCATCAACACCCTCAATGAAACTATGTAGAATTTTGGCCTAAAAAATATTGCTACGTCACTCGTAGATCGCATGTAACTGATGTAAGCATGCATCTTTCATACTTTCGAAAACTAATTCTTATCTCAAATTTATTTGCCTAATTAAGGCTTACATCACTTGTTATTTAATTCTCATATACGGAGTATTAAAATGACTTCTATAAACCTTTATTCATGAAAAAGTTATCAGGAATGTGATTAGAAGATATAGTGAATCCTAATATACGGCTAAATAGTTTTTTATTCCAATGATATTAACACTCTTAAATAACAATTTAGTCATCAAATACTAAAAAAAAGTCTATAACATCACATTTATCATTAATAACTCATTATTTTTATGTATCTATCAAAACTATTTGTCAAGATAAATTAAAATTAACATATTTAATTATTATCTAAATAGTCTTATCAACGGACGTAGTAAGTGTTTTGATGATACTTTTAGTCCCTTGAATTTAATTATTACTCATGTAAATGCAAGTTTAAGTTTGCTAGTCATATATTAAAAATTTATTAGCGTTTTTGTCATATATAAATAAATTTCCTTTATTCGTTCGGATCGTTCTAAGTTTCATATATATGTTACACTATCGTACACAAAAGTTTCAAGTTTATATCTATATCTATATATATATTCATTTTACCATTTTGTATACGCACTGTTTATACATATATGAAATTAATAATGCTCTCAATCTATTATTTCGCCTTTATTAATGAACGTTACTCCAGAAAAAACTTCACGTCGTAGATGCATGCATCAACGTTTTCAACAGCCAAAAGTAAAGTCTTTTCTTCAACCGTCTTATTGTCTTTTTTGGGGTAGCGAATAAAAGGCCGACGCATGGTAACCTAATACCCTCTCCTTTACCATACAGATGTACTTGAACAATGTAAATATTGAAAACAATAGTGTATCTGGGTATGCAGATTAGATATAACGAACTAGAACCCTTTGAAGTCATTGTATTTTGATAAACTCCTGACCATTATTTTGTTTTGATAATTGAATAGTTTCTTTTTTTATTTAAATTTGTGTATATAGACATTTTCTAAAGGGAAAACCGTCAAATAGGTCCTCGAACTTTCATAAAAAAGTCAATTAAGTCCTTCTATAGGAGACTCTGTCCAATCGTCGCGATTTGGGGCGGTTCTAGGTAGAATTTTTTGATGAAATTTTTTGAGCATCTTATTCATCAAGTCTAGTTTACTCATACCAAATTTCAGCTAAAAATTTAATCGGGAGCGCATTCAAATTAACGCAGAAATGCGCAATTATCTTCAAGAATTAATTTGAATGTGTTTCGGATTGAATTTTTTTCTGAAATTTGTTATGAGTAAACTAGACTTGGTGAATAAGATGCTCAAAAAATTTCATCAAAAAATTCCACCGGGAACTACCCCAAATCGCGACGGCCAGACAGAATCTTCTATAGAAGGACTTAATTGACCTTTTTATGAAAGTTCGAGGACCTATTTGATAGTTTTCCCTTTTCTAAACCTCATTTTAGAGCAATTCCATGTACGTACTCGTATCATTTATCTTTTAACTTTGTTTGTGTATACATATATCATTGTGGTACTTTTAGTATAATATATTGAAAGCAATCAATAATTAACTACCATATGATCATTCAGTAAGTCCCGGCTATAATCGTAATAAACAACGCGATTTTTTTTTGATAATTTTAAACCATTTATTTCACACTCGGGTATTCAATCGGTCCAGAAATTTTCACATTTTTTGTGATTTAAAACTTACTTTTAAGTATCAGTTGTGAGAAAAGTTGTATCTAGGGTTGGACCGGTCAGACCGGCCCGGTACCCAGCCCAGACCGCCACTGTGCGGTACTGGATCAGCCCGGTACGGGGGGGGGGGGGGGGTTGGGGGGGGGGTTACGGGCTCTAGTTCTCTTCGAACCGGTCCGGCCGGTGTCCGGGCCAAAAAAGTTTTTTTCCCGAATGGATTGGGTGGTAGGCGGGTTGGGTTGGGTTGGGTGGTTTGGGGGTGTTTGGGGGTGGGTGGGTGGGTGGGGGTAGGAATAAATAAGAAAAACAAATTTTTTTAAAATATATATATAAGACCCGGTCCCGACCCGACCCGGTCCCGGAACCTACCCGGGCCGGTACCGGGCCTCCAACTCCCAACCCTAGTCCCGCCCATGGCCCGACCCGGCCCCGGTCCATCCTTAGTTGTATCCATCGAATACTCTAGTGCATAATTATAATATATCTTAAGAGTATTGTGTATATATATATAATTTTTTAAATAAGAAATAAGATCTTGTACATTTTAGTATTAGAGCATCTCCATTCATGATCTCTAATAATCAATTTTTTCTATGATTCTTACCTTTTAAATATTGTTATATAATTAATGTTTAAATAATCTCAATATTCGTTTATGTCTCTCAACCATCATCTTCAAATAATTCGATTTTTTCGTTCCTGCAATAACTTCTATTACATATAGTTTTTAAATAATCTTAAAATAATCTGGATTCATATTTTGATCCCGGATTATTATTGTAGCAAATAATCTCAATAAATAATTTATGTCTCTCAATGATGCTCCTTTAAAAAATCTGTCATGTCACTTACTTAATCTCTTAATGATCCTATCAATGGGGATGCCCTTACACATAATGACTATAAAAATTACAAAGAAATATAAATTTTTTTTTTTTTTTTTTGAAATAACAAAGAAATATAAATAGAAACTACTTTAAAGCCCTACTATTTCGAGAGAAAGTTAACGTAGACTTGACAAAAAGAACGCGAACTTAATACATATTCCGTACATAGTAGTACTTTATATGTTGAACATTGCTCTTTTTGGTGAGCAAAATAAGGAAATTTCACTTCATTCACATGTCAAACAAATGAGGTAACATTTCAATTCTAAACATGTATTTTTGCTTGTTTTGTTTTAAATATTTAAGTTTTTATGAAAATTATAAGTGTTCCTATTTGAAAAAAACGGGACCCGCCTTCTGCGCGCCTTTGAGGTCGACTTTTGATAGTGTGGCTGAAATATTACTCGTAGCTAGTATTGAGAAACACCACCATACAGTCGCATACTAAGGGCGGAATATTGGGGTGGGCGGAACAGTTTTGGAAAGTTTTAACATAATTTTTTCACCCTAATAATTTATACAAGGTTGAAATTTGAGTACCTCAAATTGGAGCTCATTTATTCTTTCATAGTATATTAGTACCAATCTTAGCTTGTTAGTTTGACTAATGAAACCCTAGAAGGGTAAATGTGTCAAATAAATATGTATATAGACTTGCTGACAAAAACAAAGTAGGAAGATTTCGAAAAATAGGACTAAATAGGGTTTGGAATTTCAAAATAGGACTACTATGTTATTCTTCCCGAAATAAGACTAAGATGACAGTATTTATTGTCATCTTTTACTCATGACTGCCAAATAGTTGTAGTACTATACATTTAACATGATAATATTTATTATACTTAATGACAGTATTTTTCAATCATGACATCAACGACTACTATTTGGGGAAGAAAAACATAGTATTCATATTTTAGAATTTCCAAAATTGTATACTCCTATTTAGGGTAATTTTCTGAAAAAAGTTTCATGAAATACTACTACGTATATTTAGTTACGTATAGTTACGTTAGTTCCCAATTCCCAAACCTTAAATTGGGTAGATCTTTTGAACAAAAATAGGCGTTAATTACATGTAGTGAATGAACATTTCTTACTTGAAAGAAGAAGGATTTGAAGGCCATTCAGGGGCATATTTCTCAAGGGGATAACAATGAAGCCTGAGATAATCCCTCCAGTTGTGGACAGTCTCTTTTGTGATGTTGAAGCTGGTGGAAAGCCTCATGGTCCTCGATGGATCGTCGGAGTAGAGCTTCATCTTCTCCTCCACTGATAAATTGAAGAACTCATGTGATACCTCTAGCATTTCCTCAACCACTCTTTTTGGAACCCCGTGATTTATTATCTACACAACACATAATATGTTTTTAAGAAAAAGAAAACTCAAAAATTGATGTTTTTCCATTACAACTTTCTAGAAGCTAGAGCAAAATTGGTATGATAACAAAGTAAATAGTTTTCTTTTTCTTTTTTTGGAAGAAATCGGTTTAAATTGATAACACATCATTCAGATAGTAGGTAATCCGACAAAACAACTCCTGACAATCGTCGTCCCTCGAACCAGACTTAGAGCTTATCGCCTCATCAATATAACTCGTTGATCCATTGATGGGCACAAATGAGTCAAAGACGGTTACCGCAATCATTACATCACCCACATCCAAATCCAAAACCACACTCTTACAATCGAAAGAGATAAAACAACAAACAAACACAGACAAATTCAGACCATTAAAATAAATAAAAGCAAAAAAATAAATTTCTTTACTCAGCCTTCCAAGAACCACCGGAGGGGGTCGTATGGCCTTCACTTCATCTTCTTCCTTAATCGCCTTGATCTACCCTTGAGTCGCCTCCAGCTGATTCTCCCCATCCAGGAATGAATTGCTGGAAGACGGCACCGCTCCTCACAAAACGACAATAGCGGACGAATAAAACTCTAGCGGTGAAACCCTAGAGACATGACGCGAATCCAGGACAATGCAGTCCTCCTCCTCTTCGACCAACGAAATATCGATCGTCGTCGTCTTCATCTGATCTCCATGGCGGAGTTGTCCGCCTTCATCGTCCACCCTCCAGACTGATCGATAATAACAACTTGGCTGGCCGAAACTAAATCCCGCTCCTCGGCTAAGCCGATAGTGGACACTCCGAGAGCTAAAGATCGTCTTGCGGCAACCCTAGAGAGAATTTTCCAAGTGAATAAACTTTTGGAAATTAATTAGTTTTCTTTATAAAATAGAACGAATTTCCTAAAGTTTTTATTGTTTCATTATGTTAAATTTAAACTTAGCTTGATTATATGTTAAGACTCTAGGTTCCATCCTCAAAGGTCAATTCTGATAGGAGGAGTAGCCCAAAGCCTTATATAGTGTTTAATTGTTTTATAGCTTTCCAGTGTGGGACAAATGCTTTAACACGCCCCCTCAACCCGAACCGGACTAGACAATATCGGGGTGTATGAACGGGCCAAACAAACCCTTAACAAGTTACCCTTCATCATGGGGGCTAAACAAGCCATCAAACCATAACCGTAATTGGCTCTGATATCATGTTAAGACCCGGGCTTCCCTCCTATATAGTGTCTTATATAGTGTTTAATTGTTTTATAGCTTTCCAGTGTGGCACAAATGCTTTAACATTATAAGTCTTACTACCTCCTTCCCGCTAAGATTGTCTCGTTTTACCATTTCGGTCTGTCCCACTGCGATCGTCCCACACCAAATTTGACAAGGTTTGTGTGGTTCTAAACCATTCTTACTTTATTCTTACTTTATCAGTTCAATATCAACCACATAAATCACTTTTTATTAGTTTGTGTGTCACTCCATCTTATCTCATTGTTATGGGGACGAAGGGAGTACTTTATAAATAAAATATACCTAGTATATACTTCGTCCTATTTTTAACTTAGTTTATGTTTCACTCTATTCTAAGTAATCCATTTGGAAAAATATCAGTAAAGGAACAAAATCAATACAATTAAAACGTAACTCAATTTATTCAAATGTGACTTTTAAAAAATAATAATTTTCAACTAAATGAAGATTAAAGTTATTTATGAACTTATTAATGTTTAACTCAATTTCATTAAATAAAACTGTTTACTACCTACAGGCTTCAGTCAGTCAGTGACAGAATCGTTTAGTAAAAAAACAGAAAAAATTATTCCGTAATTTATAACTTAATCCTCCCTTAGCTTATTTGATTATAATTATTAAATACCAAAAAAGTGATCGATACTCCGTTTGATATGACTATTTTATATATGTAGAGCAAATAAATTTATCAGATTCTTGACATAATTAATAGCCCTAATCCCTAATGCACAAATAGGACTATGTTATGTATCTTCCCTAATTGGACTAAAATATACTCTTATACCCTTACAATAACTTAATAGGATAATCATGTTTTAATTTGAAATTAATACCAAAAACTATAAAAATGATTTAACTTATACAGAAAATTGTAAAAAATTATTAAAAAGTTATTAAACATTTTGAAGAAATACTAATATAATAAAAAAATTAAAAATAAAAAAATTTAAAAACAAATAAAAATAGATAAAACACCTTAAAATATAAAAAAATATGGAGGCCCTTCCCGGTTACTGTCCAGTCAAGTTACGTCAGATCCGCTAAAAAGTGTCATTTTATATATAAAAAAACTGTCATTTTCTCTTTAAAAATGTCATGAAGATGATATTTTTACTCTTTGAAAATGTAAAAAAAAAATCGAAACTGTCATCAAGATGGCATTTCTGACAAAATTTTCGGTAATGGTGCTGGAGGTTCTGGGAGGTTGTTGAGGTGGCGCCATAGGCCTGCATATATTTTTTATATTTTTTTCATTTTTTATTTATTTTACTTTATTTTTAAAGTTTTTTTAATTTCAATTTTTTATTTTTTGATTTTTGATTTTTTGATTTTTTATTTTTATTAATTTTATTTAATACATATTTCGTGTTTCTTTATTTTCTTTACATTTTTATTAATATAAAGCAAGCGTAGAATTGAAAAGTTAATCTATTTATGGAATTTTTAACTTGTGATCGTCAATTAAAGTTTCATCTAGTTCCATGGGGATTCTTTCTTTTAAATAGTACCTTCATCTCTATGAAACTCATTACGTTTGACTTTAGCGCACTTTAAAGTTTAAACGGCGCGAACGAATTCCCATAGTTTTTGGTATGGTCGATTTATATACTTTTCATCTCTTGGGTTGGTATGTGAAACCGCCACATGAATCTACCTTAGACTATAGTGGAGTTTGCTACTTCAGTCATTTTAATTTTTTCAATTTTTTTCAAAATACTATCGTATTTTTTAGGGAAAATGGAAACTAATAATCCAACCTTTTAGCGGTCTTCTTTTAATAGTCCCACATTTTCGTTATTCATGAATAATTCAACCTTTGCACCTCATCTTCATTCACTGGTCCCTGACCGGTTGATGACCTACTATTCCAAGTTATTTTCTTATCTTTGCAAAATATTATCTTTGTGAAAGGTGGAATTTATGGTATAACAGTTTGCAGAGATAAAAAAAATAACTCGGAATAACAGGTCATCAACCGGTCGGGGACCAATGAATGAAGATGGGATGCAAAGGTTGGATTATTCATGAATAACGAAAAGGTCGGAATATTAAAAGAAGATCGCTAAAAGGTTGGATTATTAGTTTTCATTTTCCCCATTTTTTATGAATTTAACTCATTTAGTAAACGTTTAAGTCTCCTATAATTACCGGATCCATCGCTGTTTTTGTAGAATTTAATACAACTAAAAAGAACGATTACCCCCTATCCAAATTAGTAGAACACATTATAGAAAATTAAATTTAAAGAAACATTAAAAGTGGAACTTCCATTAATATATATATACTCCATATTTGGTTAAAATATTGACCTGAAAAAATCCATAAAGGCGGCAGGCATCTCCGATTTGCCGGACGAGGAGGTTTCTGTCTCCGCAGCCCAAATCGATGACCGGAATATCGTCGCAGGTGTCGACGGCCGACAGCTGTGGCCTTTGTGAGAGGGGGTGGACATAGCTGTGGGGGAGGGTGGCATAACGGGTTCCGTTCGAAAGAACCGTTGCAGCCATTGCTCGGAATATAATCGAGTCGCCGGCGGCCGGAGAAAAAAAGAAGATTATATTATAGTGACTTAGGAGGAGATGATCAGCTCAGCTGAGGAGGTTATTATTACGAGGAGGAGAAGGCGCTCTTTATAGTGACTTGTTTGAAAGAATTACCAAAACACGGGAGTATTCGTTCTGACATTCCAAAAAACGGGAGTTCCTTTTAGGTTACCAAATCCCGTAAGTCGGAATTGGGCATTCCGACTGGAGATTAGGGTTACAAAAATCTGACACACAACTGACACAAGCCTGTCGGAATTGGGAAATCCGACAGGAGAGCCTTTAATAAAGCCATCTACCTAGTCGGAATTGGGGAATCCGACTAGGGTATTTTTTTTTTAAAAAAAACTGGCAGCCTTTAATAAATCGGATAAATCCCATATCAAGCCAACTACCTAGTCGGAATTGGGGAATCCGACTAGGGTATTTTTTTTAAAAAAAAATACTACCTAGTCGGAATTGGGGAATCCGACTAGGGTATTTTTTTTAAAAAAAATGCCGCTATTTTAATTGGTACTCCATCCGTCCCCAATTAAATGTCCCATTTTACCATATTGAGATGTTCCTATTTAAATGTCTCATACCTGATTTGGTAAAGTTTGTGTGGCTCAAAATCATTCTTACTTTATTCCTACTTTATCAATTAATATCAACCACACAAACCCACTTTTCTTAAAATTCGTGTCACCCTCTTCCGGGACTTTTAAAAGGGGACGGAGGGAGTATCTCCTAACTCTATAAAAACCATTCATTTCTTCTCAAAATTTACAAACACACTCCAAAAACACTTCTTTCTTTCTTTCTTAACATACCATTCCCTCATACCCACTTCTTTCTTTCTTTAACATACCATCCCCACGTACCATATTCACTCCAAGAACACTTCTTTCTTTCTTCAACATACCATCCCCACATACCATATTCACTCAAAAACACTTTAATATATTCATTACTTTTTTGTTTACCACTCTTCTCTCATATTATATTTATAATATATACCATATATAAAAAATGTCTAGTGAGGGTAATATTATTCTTATGGTTCATTGGAATGGCTCTACATCTCAAAAAGATGATGAAATAGAGTACTCCATACCTCCTAGGGCTGTACTATTCATTAGTGAAGGAGATGATTATACTACTATACATGAAAATGTTCTCAATCATGTTAGACGCGACGGATTTTCCGAAATTAAATTAATTTACGGAAAATTGCCGAAATATAAGAATTCGGTATATGTTGCTTCTAGATTATGGCCCATTCATGATGAGCGAACATGGCGTCATTTTTTCCGGATTGCCACAAATGAGTATGAGGAGTTGCACATTTACGTGGAAGCTTCAGCGACCCCGCCACAAAATTTGACGTTCCACGGAACTGCTGGAGTGGAAGGCCCATCATCAAGTCGGAGGAACAACCGCCAATCGTTTCAGAACCAGGAAACTCCCGGTATGTATAGTTCTATTTAATTTAGTAATTTGTAAATGTTTTACTTTAGATTGTTAAATTGGAATTTTAGAGTTAAATGATTATATAGCTTAAATAAATATGATAGGACAAATTAATAACCTATATTATATTTTTATTAAATGCATAGCACTTTTGCAACTAATGTGAGAAGACGTAATATAAGCTCACTTGTGCAACCGTCTCTTTTTCATTCATTTAAATAACTTATTTAGGCTATTTGTTTAATTTATACAAATATATGACACATACTTAATTGCACATATTTAAAGTGGTATATACACCCAAATATTCCATATATATCTCTTTAACTTATAATTTGCCTTAATTAGTTTTTTTAGGAACGTAGAAGTAGTAGATTTAGTAATTTGTAAATGTTTTTAAATTTATTTGTTAAATTTGAATTTTAGGGGTAAATTTAGCTATAAAATACTTGAGAGTTAGAAAGAGTGTTAAAATTAGAATTGAACTTAAATTTTGGTTGTAGGACTATAGACGTAGTTCATTTAGCAATTTGTAAATGTTTTCATTTAGATTGTTAAATTGTAATTTTAGAGTTAAATTTGACTATAAATTACTTGAAAGTTAGAAAATGTGTTAAATTGAGAATTTGCCTTAACTTTGCTTTTACGAGTATAGTTAATTTAGTAATTTTTAATTTTGTTTTAAATTTTTATTTGAGAAATTGGAATTTTAATTTAGTGTATAATATTATTCTTAATTTAATATGTGTACAAATTCATTAATGTCTTTAATGTAAATAATATGGAGTATTATGGTGTGGAAACTATAATTGATGTGGGATTTCACAAATTTAGATTTTTTAATGTAAAAAAAATCGTTTTTAATCCTTATTTAACACATTAAAAATATCTCTTAAATAAAAAATGTAAATGTCTTTTTTAGTGCAAACTATATTTAATTTAACATAAATAAAAAATAAATTTTAATTGTGTCGGAATGCTCAAATCCGACTGGGAGTTTAAAAAAAAGGACAACTCTAGTCGGATAGGTTAATTCCGACTAGAGGGTGTTTTTTTGGAAATATTTAGTTTTATTTTTAAAAACTATATATATTAAATTTTATATATTACATTTTTTATTAAAAACTATATTTTTTATTCGAGAAAAATTTGATTTTGTTTAGAAGTACTCCGTATTTATTTTAGTAATTTTGAACTCATTGATTTAGATAAAACAGACATTTTATAATATAACTCGGTTAAACAAAATCTAACACATTTAGTCATATGAATTCATTCAGATTCAGGTGAAATAAGCCTGATAAACCAAAAAACATGGTCACCAAATGGGCTCTAAGTGACCGTTTGTTAGTAAACTTATGAAAGCTAATTTCTTTCGGCAAAATAATTTAAATACATCAAACCTAACAGAGTGTGAGACAAGTACACGAAACTTGCATATGTAATATATATATATATATATATATATATATATATATATATATATATATATATATATATATATCCTAAACTGTATATAAAAAGTTATTTTCGCATCATGATGGTATGTTTTTTTAAATACAAGTTTATTGGAATAATTACATAATTTAAAATACTCTAAGCTTTGATAGAATGCAGTTAACATTCTAATATTTCATTTCTGAAATAAATAGTATTACATCCGGTACAATTTAATTTTATTTGTATTATCATAAATATTTTATGTATTTTCATTTATGTACTTCACAACATTAAATTACATTTGTGAAAAATTTTTATGATTGTAAGGAATAAATGTATTTAGATTTTGATGATGCTAGATTAATTAGAACATTAGAGTACCCCCATTAGAATTGATGTATTAGAATTTTTCTAAGTGTAAGCCTTCTAGATTAGCCGACTGGCAGAAGACCTACAGGCCCTCTGTTGGATGTTTACTTGACAGAAGTGCTCATGGCCCTCTGTTGAGCTTTTGCTGGACAGAAGAGCTCGAGGTCCTCTGTAACTACCTCTCTATGCAACGCAACATAAGACCACACACTTAGAAGTTTTGCAAGCTACCTCGCCGGAGTACCTAACGAAAGATTCCCTCAACGGCTAGGAGTCCCTCAACAGAAATGCTACATGAGAGCATTTAATGCTCATTTAATGAGCTCTACACTCTAAAAGAGTTAAAGCTGATGATTGACCGAGATTCCTGGAAAGCCTATCCCAAAATAGCAAGCCGCCAAACTTGCGGGCCCAACCGGTCAACTCAACAGTACGCGCATTCAATGCAGTTGTCTCCTCCTCCAACGGCAAGACAACCCTTGTATAAAAGATACATAATGAAGAACAACCGGATAACTTTTGCTCTCTCTACAACCCTCAAAGCTTTCTTGAGATTCAAACTCCATCTCCAAAAACAAGAAAAGCTTACGTTGGAAAGATCATATTCTTATATAACCTTCATACTCCAACAAGAGCAAAGTTCCTACAGTTCTTCAACACTTCAAGCACTTCATCTACAAATCCTTTGTGACGAAGCAAGTTGGAGAAAACTCTGTTTTGACAAACATCTTCTAGTAAAGAAGGGCGTCTTAAAGTAACTGGTGTAAGTGAAGTGGTGATACTTCAAGGAGACTCGGTGAAACAAGAGCAGTCTTAAAGGAAGCAAGGAAGTGCATCCCAGGAGACATCTACACTTGAAGAAGACGTGGAGAGCTTTTTAAGTGCTAGGACTTAAGTGTTGTAATTGGTTTATTACAAGCTTAGTAGAACAGTGGATTAGAGGAACGAGTTGTTCCTTGAACCACTATAAAAATCTCTGGTGTCATTTACTTATTGCTTTTACATTTAAACTGATTAACTCCAAAGAAGTGGTATCTGTGTTTAGCAGAACACCTCTTGAAAGTTAACAGAAGGCCTAGTGCCTTTGCATCTCTGTGAGGCTATCCCGACAGAACCCCTACCAGAAGACCTCCGCTGCCAGTCTGTTCCCAACAGAACAGGTTGTTCTGTTAACCTTGGTACTTAGCTTGAAAAAGTTAAAAACCATAACAGTATATTCACCCTCCCCCCCTCTAGATTGTTACCTTGATAACCGGGACCAACAATGATCATAGTGTTAACATAAGTTTTTATATAAAGTTTGGGGTATATCTATTACATGTGCAAGTTCGGGGTACTTATCTCACACTCTTTGAAAGTTTGGGATATCTAAATTATTTTCCCCAATTTTTTGCAAACATTAAGAGCTTCAACAATAAAAGCAAATTAGGAGGAGAAAAGAATCAACTCTGGCTATCAGACAAATGAAATGGTCTTGTTCGGTACCTGGTTTAACAAATTTCGGGTACCCAATTCTGCTCTCGGTCTGTTGTACACGTGTGAATTAATGGACTTGTATGTTTAAAAAAATACTTTAAAATTTGAAATTTAATGCAAAATACCTCAAATTTCAAGTTAATAGATGTGACTTGTGTAAGGGTGGATTGGAATCAATTCCACACCTATTCTTCCTATGTCCATTTACTTGTAGGGTATGGGACAAGATTCGAGAATGGATGGGATTTGGGCATCAAATGTCTACATTGCTTAGCTCAATCAAATGGATTTCGAAGAAGCACAAAGGATCAATGTTGAAAGCAAAGGCGGCCCGAATTGCTCTATGTGACGTGGTGTATTACATATGGCATGCAAGAAATGAGTTCCGCTTTGGTGATGGCAAGAAGACCGAGGAGGACGTTATAGCCAAGATTAAGCATATCGTCTATAAGATACTCTATAGTATCTATCCATATGAATTGATAAACTTTTGAGTGGGCCAAAATCAAGTGGGAGGCCACGACATGTATGCCGCGGTATGGTCACACTGCACACTGCGACATGGATTTTCTGGATGTCGCGGAATGGACCTCTTGGATGTCGCGGTTTGGGCACATGAGATACTGCGGCATAGGCATCTTGGATGACGTGGCATGAAGCAGTGTTTTGGACTTAGGGTGTGTGCAACTTGCAATACCTTTGTATTTTGTTATGATTTGAACCTTATGATCTGTGTGCGTGCATGTGCAGCATCGATGTATGTTTTTGAATTTTGATGGGACAAGTATTTATACTTGGTCCTTTTGAGGTAGATTAGATTGAATAAAAACCTCCTTTCATCCCTACATTATGTGGGGGGGGGGGGGGTTAGGAGATCTAGGATACTTAATGTATAGTTTTCTTGGGTGTTAATATATATTTACATTTCATCCAAAAAAACATATGATTATATGTGTACACTTCCTGGTCGGTTGTCATTTCCTCCATGAAATGGCGGGTCGGTGTTAGAACGAGGCACCCCTTCATCATGAACAAAGGAAGAAGTCTTCTGATTAGACTTGAACCCGTGCTGCTAATGGAATCATCAGGAAGACCCCATTCTGGTAACGAAACAAGGAAGACACTAGACTGCTAATCTTAGAGGGACTTGTCTGCATCGGCGGTTGGGACATTGTGGTAGTCGTATTTTAGATAAACTTAAAAAGTCTGGTTCTATTCTTAGTAATTCTAATTTTTCCCATGATTGTATTTCTTGTCGGTTAGGAAAATCTCAACGGTTACCTTTTCAAGAAGTTTGGCATAAATCTACTGCCCCTTTGTTTTTGGTTCATTCTGATGTATGGCAGTCTCATGTTCTGTGTGACAGTGGTTTTAAATATTATGTTTTATTTATTGATGATTTTTCACGGTTTACTTGGTTATATCCTATGCGCAATAAAAGTGAAGTTCTAAAACATTTTACTAATTTTAAAGCAATGGTTGAAAATCTTCTCAATGGTAAAATTAAATTTTTTAAAAGTGATGGAGGGGGTGAGTTTGATAATCATGGTATGCGTAGTCTTTTTCTTCAGCATGACATTTTGTTTAGAAAATCTTGTTCTGACACTCCTGAACAGAATGAGGTGGCTGAAAGAAAACACGGTCATCTTCTACAATTAACTCGCACTATGCTCTTTGAAGAAAAAATGCCAGCTAAATTCTGGGTTGATGCGGTTTTTACTGCTACTTATATTGTCAATCGTCTTCCCACTCCGAATTTAAATGGACTTTCTCCCTTTGAAAAATTATTTCATCATTCTGCAGACTTTTCTTTTATGCACATTTCTGGGTGTGCCCGTTTTTCCAAATTTTAATGTCACGTCTGCAAATAAACTTTCTCCCCGCTCAGTTTTGTGTGTTTTTCTGGCCTACGCTCCTGAGTACAAAGGTTACCATTGTCTTGATCCTCTTACTGGCAAAATTTACATAAATAGGAATGTTAGATTTTATGAAAATTATTTTCCATATTCTGAGCTTAATTCTTCTAAATCTGAAAACACTGTCTCGGTGCCCCCTGAACAACCGCATGCTTACATACCGTTGGTATCACCTTCCCGGTTAAGTTCGCATCAACCACCCTCGTCCGACTTCCCATCTATCCGAACCGAAGAGCAGCTGCCCAAACACACCCCATGCAGCCCTGCTACCCCTCGGCCTACCTCTCCCAGGGAGCTCGACAATCCTGCTAACTCTTGCACTACTAGAATTTTCCTCATTTGCTGCTACCTAATTGCTACGGTTATAAGTAAAACCGCAGCAAATACTCAAAATTTATACCTATTTGCTGCGGTTGTGGTATGACCGCAGCAAATACTCTTAAAATTTCAACTTTTTGTTGCGGTCATGTAACAACCGCAGCAAATAGTATTAATATTTCGTAATTTAATTTTTTTCTTGACGTTTTCGCTGCGAGTAAAGTGAACCGCAGTAATTAATATAAAAAATCGCACCTATTTGCTGCGGTCGTGGCCAGTGGCGCAGCAAATACACAAAAATTCGCCCCTATACGCTGTTAAAAATAAAATTTCCCTTCTCCCCTCAACAGATCCACTAGCGCCCAAAACCCCAGCCCCCTCCCAGCCAATACCAGCGCCGCTCCTCGCCAACTCCTCACCCGTAGAGCAGAGCCGCCGCCGCAGGTCCTCAACGAAGCCGCTGCACGAAGCTTAAACATCCCGCAACCCAAGATTGCTTTTGTCGGCCGCTGTAGCTCGCTGCCGAGCTCCTAGCCTACGCTGCCGCACGACACCGGTTCACCCTCTAACTTCATCTTCTCTACAATTCAATGTTATCTTTTTATTAAGGTTAGTTGTTATTATTAACTTATTTGATATTTTGTGTAGTCCATATTGTGTATTCAATGAATAAATTGATTTTATTGTTCTTGTTGTTATTTATTGTTTGAAAGAAATTGAACATTGGATGAAAAAGTTGGAGAAATATATGATATATAAATTAAATGATAAAATTAAATATACTATATAGTTGGGTCCTATATAAGGAGGAACTGGAGGATTGTAACGTGCTATGGTTAAATCAATGACATTGGCTGCAAAAACTCCTCATATTTAGCAACGTGCTATGGTTAGTTTGTGAATCTCACAAGTTTCTTTATAATTTTTTTGAATTAAGAACTTTATATTGAAAAGCTTCTAATAATAGCTGAAAAAAGTGTGATATCTGACTTCGATACAAAATCCAAAAATTTAGCTTATCATAATAAAATTAGGCTTTCAATTTCTTTTTTCTTGTCTTTCATGTCTTTCTGCATATTGTACTCTTTCCTTCATTCAATAAAAGATTTTCTTTTCAAAAAAAAAAAAAAAATAGGCTTTCCTCCAACTGAGATGATATTTACTTTAAATTTAGCTTGTGGGTTTTGCTTGTGTCTATATTAATGGACTTAGTTTGTGGGTTTTGCTCATGTCTCAGGTAAACCATGTAAATTAGAATTATGATTGCTGATAATAGTGTAATGTTAAACAAAGAAAGAACAAAAATCGCTTTGTTTATATTTAGAGTGCAAGGAATGCAATGAACGTACTAAGTGATCATAGTTATGCTTGTTCTTGTTGCTGTTTACCAAGAATCACATTTGGGTAGAGAGTAACTCTTTCAATTGCTCAAATGTAAAAATGACTAAAGGGTGTTTAAAATATCATATGATCACCTATTATGTTTTTGCTGAGAAGGATCACCTATTATGTTATTCCTTCAAATTTTATAAAATCTCAAATATATACGAAGATATAAATGTACTTGAAACTAACCCTTGGGGAGATATTTGAGAACAAGCACATTGGTATTGTTTTTTTATTCTGTGAAATCAAATCTTAAGCTTATTATATATGTGTGATCATAAACGGACGAATATTATGCATTTTTACTTGTTTATAGCTCTGAATAAGTTTTTTGTTTTGTTTTAAATCATAAGTAGATGTGTTAACTTAGAAAGAATATAATTTGGTTATTGTTGAGACAGTAAAAGAAGCTCTTTGCTGAGCTAAAGAGGACTGCTAAATCTGGGAATGAGGTATGTGGCTTTGATTGCCTATTGAGTACACTGTAGTTGACTTCGGGATGGTGGTGGATACATTAACTGAATTAGACAACTAGTACCTGGAATGCAGGTTGCCATGTTATAATTTGTGAATTTCCTGGTCTCTAACCAAATCTTAGTGTTCTTTGTTTTCATGACTTTATAAATCCTTTTTTGCATTCAAAACTATGGAGGCTGGAGCTGTAGCAGTCAGTTCTTCTCCTTTTGGTATGGAGTTGTAGTGCTCACCATTGTAGGTAGGCTGAAAATAAATTTGGATGTTGCAGAATAAAATCCATGTTAACTTTAGTGTTGAGCATTAAAAACTTGGTTAAACATTGTCTTTAGTGTTGGACCTACATTAATTGAAATGATTCTCAATCTGACATAAAAACACTAATATACAAGTAAAAAATCTAGTTAAGTCAAAATATGTCAATATTGTAAGGTATACTCTGTGTTATTGATTTAAGTAAAATTTATAGTTTAGGATAGTTTAGAATAGTTAGTTTTTTAATTGTGTGTGCATGTATCTTATGGATTCTAAGACAGACATTGCCTGAATTTTCACTAATTCCAGGTTCAGTCATCTCGGGGTATGGACTGTCTGTAGCCCAAATTGGAGCAGTAACGAAGAACAAAGCCGCTTGGTGGATGCCGATGAGTATGATTATTTGGCAAAAAATGGTGACATTTTTCGGAGGACTCTCAGGCTTGTAGAGACTGCTATATGTTTGTTGTTGTTTCTGGGTTAGCTTGATGTGTTTTTGGACTACCCATAGTTATATCTTTCCTTAGATGGGGTGTTGCCGTAACAAGAAAAAACATGGTGGCAACTTTTGTGATCACGATGTGTCCAGTCTGGACCCGTGAAAGCCGTTAACTATGTGTGTTTGTCCTGTTTGGTGATGTATAGTTTAATTCTTTTTGGAATTATGGTTTAGATTTGTGATGTGGGATACTTTTGTTGTAAAACGAATATTTATTTTTTTATAAATAGGATATGTTTTGGTTTGAAATACCATGTTTGTAAATTTGGGTAATAGAACAAAACAAAAATTCTCTCAAAAAAGAACAAAACAAAAATAATATTACAATTTTTTTTTCAATTTTTTTGCTGCGAAATATTTTTTCCCCAAAACTTAATACTATTTGCTGCGGTTCAGAACCGCAGCAATAAGTCAAAATTCATTTTTTTAAAGAGCTATTTGCTGCGGTTTGGAACCGCAGCAAATACGTTTTCTTACTATTTGCTGCCCTGCCAATTGCTGCGGTTCAGAACCGCAGCAAATAGCTAAAAATAACCGCATCAAATAGCTATTTTTCTAGTAGTGTTGGCCTACTTCAAACCTGCACCCCGAGAGTCCACCCATGTCTCCGCCACCTTCACCACCACAACCTGATAGCCCCCTCGACCACCA